AAGTTATGGCAATCTCGGCAACGCTTATCAAGGTCTAGGACAGTTCAAAACAGCAATCGGGTACCATCAACGTCATCTAGAAATTGCTAAAGAAGTGGGAGACAAGGCCGGAGAGGGAATCAGTTATGGCAATCTTGGCAACGCCTATCAAGGTCTAGGACAGTTCAAAACAGCAATCGATTGTCATGAACGTCACCTTGAAATTGCTAAAGAAGTAGGAGACAAGACTGGAGAGGCATGCTCACTCTGTTCACTTGGTATAAGTCTTGAGTGCCTAGGAAATGTTTTGAAGGCGTTTGTCTGCTTTCAGTCGAGTGTAGAGGTGTATGATGATATCAGGGCCAGTCTTCAACTCAACGATCAGTGGAAGATTTGCTATCGTAATCAGCACCAAGCGGCGTACAAAGGCTTGTGGCGTACAAATCTAAAGCAAAGTAACGTCGTAAAGGCTCTTCTTGCCACAGAAAAAGGACGTGCTCAATCTCTGAGAGATCTCATGAACAAAAGATATCAGCTTGGCGATTCTTTAACGAACAGCGCTTCGTGCGTTTCTCTGAGTTGTGTTCCATCAAGCACAGTTTTCATAGCTACAAATGGTCCTTTCGTTTACTTCTGGGTTCTCCTCAGCAACGATAATATCCAGATGAGAAAGGTACATGTAAATGATTTCAAGTATGAGGATGATTTGGAAATTTATATTGAGCACCTGAACAAGATCACTCTTGAGGAGAATAGTGCAAGAGCTACTGTTACATGCGAAAATCCTTCGCTCGATTCGCCGAAACGGGAGGAAGTGGCAAACGATGTAATCCCAATTAATGTGTGGTACTCGAAATCCAGGGCGTTACAGAAGCTTTATGACATCATCGTGACTCCCATTGCTGATTTGATCGAAGGTAAAGAGCTTACATTTGTTCCTGAGGGACCATTTTGCCTTGTACCTTACGCAGCATTGGAAGACTCGAAGTCAACTTATCTAAGTGATTCTTTCAGAATTCGTGTACTTCCGTCCTTGACGACCTTGCAATTGATTCATGATTGCCCAGCTCAATTCCACATGACGACAGGTGCATTGCTTGTTGGAGACCCATGTTTCAAAGATATCATCTATCAGGGAAGACGTTTGATGCAACTTCCTGGAGCCCGGAATGAAGTGGAGATGATTGGACGTATCCTGAATATCGCCCCTCTCACTGGAGAAATGGCGACAAAAGATGAAGTGTTAAAGCGACTGTCATCGGTGGCTTTAGTACACATTGCAGCGCATAGTAAAATGGAAACTGGAGAAGTTTTCCTGGCACCAAACACCACAAGAGAAAACCCAAAACCTCAAGAGAAAGACTACCTAATGACAATGAAAGATGTAGAAGAATCTGGGCTGCGAGCACGACTTGTTGTATTAAGTTGCTCTCACACTGCTCGTGGGGAGGTTATGGCTGAGGGTGTGGTAGGCATCGCGCGAGCACTTTTGGGTGCTGGTGCTAGATCTGTTGTGGTAACCTTGTGGGCGATTGACGACGAGGGAACCGTGCAGTTCATGAGTTTCTTCTACGATGCGCTTGCTAAAGGAAAAAGGACAAGTGAAGCTCTCAATCACGCCATGAAGTGTATGAGAGAAATTAAAGTGTTCAAGGAGGTGAAGTACTGGGCACCATTTGTACTCATTGGTGATGACGTCAGCTTGGATTTCAAGGATATTTAAATGCTGAGGCAAGTATCTATTCTGCTTAGAATTTTTGCTCATAAAAATGAAAAATTAACTTTAAATCATAATTTAATGTTTATATTTGAGCACTGATACTTTTTCTGGAATTTTGCTTCAAATCGGGTAAAAATTTAGCCTTTTTTACCCAAGCAAATTGAGATGCTATGCAATGGACTGGACAAATCTACGATGACAACAATCTTTTGAGAAAAGGGTAAAAAAGGAAATATCTTATATGAAAGTGTTGTTGTGCAGTGTATCTTTTCATGTCTTAGGAAAAATGTTTTGGAAACTCAACGGTCTTCTCTAAATTTCGATTGTTTTATTTTACAGCTGAAGCAGTGAGCATTGGAATCTGGGGAAGTCTGCAGTTACCCACTAACGTTAATATTTGGAGCAGAAACCAGTAGGATACCGATGACATCTTTGTCCAGAGACTTGCTTGCAAAGCAGGGAGAACCAAAAGACGGCCAATGTCAAATTCAACGAGAACCTTTAAGGATTTCCGTTGACTCGAAAAGTTAACTTTTCATTTGTCTGAACTGCTCTTACGAGCTTGTAGAATTTTGGACACTCAAAAGGAAAAGAATATTTAAGTGTTTTGATCTTTGATATTTTGCTCAAACTAATTCCTATACATAATTTTTCCTGACACATTTTGAAATTATCACGATTAGCTATATAAAAAGTTACTTTTTTACCTAACATGAATTAAGTAGTAATTTATTAACAAGATTTCGGGCGTAACATTTACGTCGAAGTTGAAACGTCTTCAAAACATTTCCAGAGTTTTTTTTACAGAATTTTTTCCTCAATCAGTTTTGTTTCTCTTGAGTGATTTAACGCTATTACAGCCATATGCTCGAATAGAGAATCTGCATTGAACTTGGAGAATAATCAGTTGTTCGATTGCTCGATTATCTTAGTTTATGTCGGATGGAAATTGTGGTTAACGGTTCCCGGATTTTTACCACTAAGTGGTTGCTCAACAAAAATTATATTAATTTCCGAGAAAATAACAGATTTTGACCCTTATGGCCAGAAGTTAGTCTTGGGATTATTATTTTCTCCTTTACGTTTAAATATGATAAATTGTGTTTTTGTATTAGCATTTCGACTTATTTTTAGGATGCTGTTTAAACTAATCGGCAAGACGAGAAGTTTTTTTTAAATTTTAATTACTGACCAGCTTCAAATTGAGTATCCTACAAAGCATCGAAAGGAGCTCAGAAACAGCGAGGAAGTTGGAGCCAAATGATTTTATTTAGTCACTTCAATTGGATTGTTTACCTACTGTATGAGTACAATAAAGAAACGTTTGATTGTCAAAAAATGAGACAAATTGTGGGATATTTTGTTGGAAGGGAAGGGAAAGTCAATAACAAAATTAAAAAAGTCTCTAGCAACCTACGAGCGGCAGCAATCTTGCATGGAATATTTAACAATTATTCCACGAGCGCGCGTTGGATGTGAGATGATAGATAGCCAACTCGGCGCTACGCGCCGAGTTGGCTATAATCATCTCATATCCAACAAGCGCGAGTGGAATGATTGTTTTATTAAAAACGTTAAATTGAATGATTAAATTTTATTAAATTCTTAGCTCCCTTTTTTTTTTTAAGCTGACACGTACGCTTGCCATATTTGTAGATTATGGTATATAGGCGGATTCATGCTGACGTCATTGTTTACATTTTTGCTCATTTGCATACGGCTTTGCGTAAAGAAGGAAGCATGTTTGATACAAACTGACTTCAGGCAGCTAAAGAGCTAGAACACCTTAGTACATGGTGAAATTTTTAGCTCTTTGGGTGTAATATTCAAGGAGAAAAAGTCCATCAAAGCGCTAATGAGCTCATACATTTTATGTAAAATTTTGAGATTTTAAACCCGTGTTGCACAAAAAGTATTCAATGCAGCAAGCTCGTATTCATTGGCCGAGTTAATCGTACTTTGACCTTTCGATATTCAGAACTGATTTATTTTTAGCTCCATCAGAAACTGAATTGCTTATGCTAATGAGGCAAATATTGTAAACAAGGATTCCCCTATTGGCTGATATACCATAATGGCTAAGCCAATAAAAAGTCTTGAATTGCATTATCCAATGATCTAGTTTTTAACAAATATATATATAACGAAATCATATAGCTTCGCTTATAGAGAGGCGCAAAATGAATTGCACACAATTAAGCAAGCACATCTGGTCTATGAAGGACGCCGGCGCGCAATACACATTTTTTTGGAAAGTAATCGTTCATGCCAATAGGTACATTAAAATCTTAAAGAAATGTCACCTTTGTTAACTGAAAAGTACTTCACTATACGGAAACTGGATCTATGTACATTGTATGACTTGAGGCCTTTTAGTCTTTAACATCCGAAGAGAGAACATCTCGAAACAGAACTGTAACTTATTATTACTACTATTCAGTATATGTATATATAGTAGTATAACAGTACTGTTTCGGCCTTCTGGGCCTCATCAGTGCAGTGCTAATGCTAGCATGGGGGAGAACCGAGACGGTCACCCCAAACGACCCAACCTTTGTGGTATCGTCTAAGCCATGCCAGAGTGCTCAAACTAGAGTAAACCAGCGAGCATGCGCAATTGCAACGGCAATGACTCATCCTAGATAGAGTGCTCAATTTGGACATGAAAGCAAAGCTTTGTATGCCAAAGAGCTATATCTAACTGCAGACAGTACTGTTTCGGCCTTCTGGGCCTCATCAGTGCAGTGCTAATGCTAGGATGGGGGAGAACCGAGACGGTCACCCCAAACGACCCAACCTTTGTGGTATCGTCTAAGCCATGCCAGAGTGCTCAAACTAGAGTAAACCAGCGAGCATGCGCAATTGCAACGGCAATGACTCATCCTAGATAGAGTGCTCAATTTGGACATGAAAGCAAAGCTTTGTATGCCAAAGAGCTATATCTAACTGCAGACAGTACTGTTTCGGCCTTCTGGGCCTCATCAGTGCAGTGCTAATGCTAGCATGGGGGAGAACCGAGACGGTCACCCCAAACGACCCAACCTTTGTGGTATCGTCTAAGCCATGCCAGAGTGCTCAAACTAGAGTAAACCAGCGAGCATGCGCAATTGCAACGGCAATGACTCATCCTAGATAGAGTGCTCAATTTGGACATGAAAGCAAAGCTTTGTATGCCAAAGAGCTATATCTAACTGCAGACAGTACTGTTTCGGCCTTCTGGGCCTCATCAGTGCAGTGCTAATGCTAGGATGGGGGAGAACCGAGACGGTCACCCCAAACGACCCAACCTTTGTGGTATCGTCTAAGCCATGCCAGAGTGCTCAAACTAGAGTAAACCAGCGAGCATGCGCAATTGCAACGGCAATGACTCATCCTAGATAGAGTGCTCAATTTGGACATGAAAGCAAAGCTTTGTATGCCAAAGAGCTATATCTAACTGCAGACAGTACTGTTTCGGCCTTCTGGGCCTCATCAGTGCAGTGCTAATGCTAGGATGGGGGAGAACCGAGACGGTCACCCCAAACGACCCAACCTTTGTGGTATCGTCTAAGCCATGCCAGAGTGCTCAAACTAGAGTAAACCAGCGAGCATGCGCAATTGCAACGGCAATGACTCATCCTAGATAGAGTGCTCAATTTGGACATGAAAGCAAAGCTTTGTATGCCAAAGAGCTATATCTAACTGCAGACAGTACTGTTTCGGCCTTCTGGGCCTCATCAGTGCAGTGCTAATGCTAGGATGGGGGAGAACCGAGACGGTCACCCCAAACGACCCAACCTTTGTGGTATCGTCTAAGCCATGCCAGAGTGCTCAAACTAGAGTAAACCAGCGAGCATGCGCAATTGCAACGGCAATGACTCATCCTAGATAGAGTGCTCAATTTGGACATGAAAGCAAAGCTTTGTATGCCAAAGAGCTATATCTAACTGCAGACAGTACTGTTTCGGCCTTCTGGGCCTCATCAGTGCAGTGCTAATGCTAGGATGGGGGAGAACCGAGACGGTCACCCCAAACGACCCAACCTTTGTGGTATCGTCTAAGCCATGCCAGAGTGCTCAAACTAGAGTAAACCAGCGAGCATGCGCAATTGCAACGGCAATGACTCATCCTAGATAGAGTGCTCAATTTGGACATGAAAGCAAAGCTTTGTATGCCAAAGAGCTATATCTAACTGCAGACAGTACTGTTTCGGCCTTCTGGGCCTCATCAGTGCAGTGCTAATGCTAGGATGGGGGAGAACCGAGACGGTCACCCCAAACGACCCAACCTTTGTGGTATCGTCTAAGCCATGCCAGAGTGCTCAAACTAGAGTAAACCAGCGAGCATGCGCAATTGCAACGGCAATGACTCATCCTAGATAGAGTGCTCAATTTGGACATGAAAGCAAAGCTTTGTNTTTCAGGTCTGATTTTCGCTATTCGGTGTAAATAGCGCTCTCTACTGCGAGGATCGTGCATCATACGTATCTATAACCGCAGTTCAAAATATATGAACTTCATATATTCATCGTATCTGATTTATCATCACGGGTTTATTACGAATCAACTTAACGGCCTGCTCCCAGTTGGCTTGTTAGCTCAATTGGTAGAGCGCTGCACTAGTATCGCAGAGGTCAGTGGTTCGAATCCCGTACAGGCCTGATTTTTTTCAGGTCTGATTTTCGCTATTGCATAAATAGCGCTCTCTACTGCGAGGATCGTGCATCATACGTATCTATAACCGCAGTTCAAAATATATGAACTTCATATATTCATCGTATCTGATTTATCATCACGGGTTTATTACGAATCAACTTAACGGCCTGCTCCCAGTTGGCTTGTTAGCTCAATTGGTAGAGCGCTGCACTAGTATCGCAGAGGTCAGTGGTTCGAATCCCGTACAGGCCTGATTTTTTTCAGGTCTGATTTTCGCTATTGCATAAATAGCGCTCTCTACTGCGAGGATCGTGCATCATACGTATCTATAACTGCAGTGTAAAATATATGAACTTCATATATTCATCGTATCTGATTTATCATCACGGGTTTATTACGAATCAACTTAACGGCCTGCTCCCAGTTGGCTTGTTAGCTCAATTGGTAGAGCGCTGCACTAGTATCGCAGAGGTCTGTGGTTCGAATCCCGTACAGACCTGATTTTTTTCAGGTCTGATTTTCGCTATTGCGTAAATAGCGCTCTCTACTGCGAGGATCGTGCATCATACGTATAAAAAAAAAACCTAAATTGTAACCTAAAATAAAATACAAAAGGAAAAGTATCAACACCAAAATACTAATAATTAAGATTACTGCTAATAATTAGAGCTGTTCGCCGTAATAAAAGTGTTTTTAAACCTATTGGTCTTAGAAATCGCTAGTTTGAAGTATCCCTGGGCTACGGGTGCAATAAGTGGACCCGTTGCGTGGCGGCAGCAGATCATGGAGCCTATGGCTTTGGTCCTTTACAATTTGATCAAATAGACTGTTACTCAAGGCCTCCCTCTTCTCGTATAGTGACGTGATGTCTGGAGCTAATAGAGCCTCTGCACAGGATACGTCGGATAGTATTATCCGCAACGTGCGCTTTTGCATTCATTCCATTTCATTAGACAGATATTGCGGCAAAGAATGATGAAAACTGAGCACACGCGCTTTGGCTGGTTTAGGAAGTACAGGCGTGTCGCAGCCTTTTTGCAAATAGATTCTACATGTACGTTCCACCTGAGGTTGTCCGAAACTACTACTCCTAACAGCTTTGCGGACGAGACAACTTCGATTTGCTTATCATTGATAATGACATGATACATAGAACTTCCCGATCTAGAGAAATGATATCCTCAGTTCTTTACATTTAGACTCGTTGAGTCGGAAACCATTAGCTTCCGACTGTCGTACGAGTTCGTCTACGCGTAACTGCATGTAGCTCGTCTTGTTCTTCGATACTGATTCAACAAGAGTGCTGTCATCAACGTATTTCCAAAGTTTTGTGTCAGCAACAGAAAGATCATTTATCATGATAAGGAACAGCCAGGGGACTAGTTTTGTTCCCTGTGGCACCCCTGCAGGAACAGCTTCCCACTCCGAGAAGCAATCGCGGCTCAGTTTTATCCTTTGCTTACGGTCCATTAAACACGAAGGCGCGCTATAAAAGGGGCTTTAGGTCCCACTAGATCATTTGTCAATCAACCTTCGTGTGATGTACAACTCTTAGAGTCAAGTCAGCTTGAGCTACAGCTACTCCAAAGCAGTGAACAGCGTGCGCATTCCTCAAAATTGTTCGATTTCTTCATCACAATACAAGAATTTTTGAGATTTGTATTTCCTTTCTCCAATGGAGACTGTCTTTATTTGTGGCGGTAAATTTGAGATCGAAGTAGGTGGTTCGCACGTTACCTCATGCCACCATGCTGGTGGAAGTAAACAATAGATATCTCATTAGCTCCTTTTGTTCCTCTACCAGCATTTGAATTTGACCCGCACACGTCAACGGTGAGTGACAAATGAGCCTAGGTCTTCCCAGGTTGCGTCTACGTGTTATTTTGGTAGATCTATAGTTTTGATCTTTTATTTTTAGTGTGCTTGAACTTTGCTAAGTTCGTGGATTTCCTTCTTACCGTGCGAGACATTTTAATCGCTTGTTGTGGTTGGGAATTCGGTGTCCCCCAACACGAGTTTGTAGGATCAATGTCGTCGCTCTCCTCTGCACTCTTTCAATCTCAGTTTTAAGGGATATTTGCGACGGGGACCAAACTTGCCCTGCATAGGACAACTGCAATTTCACAAGTGCCAGATAGAGTGTGCGCCTGACTGACAGATCAGTCAGTAGTGGGGATGTGCGTTTCAGAAGCCCAAGGAGCCTGTTGGCCTTGCTGATGATAATGTGAACATGTTGGTCCCAAGAGAGGGTACGTGTGGCAGTGACCCCGACATCTTTCTCAATGGTGACACGCTCAAGCTGAACTTGGTTGAGGTGATAGTTGTATGTTAGGGGACTCTTTTTACGGGATTGGACTTGTGCCAGACCGACCTCCTAGAAACACTTTGTGGTAGCTCCAAAATTTTTTGGGTTGTCTTTGAAAGACTTCTCAATTTGTTCTAAGTACTTTCGATGTTTGGAATAATTAGTTTCATAGGTGGTCATGTTTGGGTTGGTAAAACTGACCTTGAGTTTTACTCACACTGAAGATCTTGTTTGTGCGCGTGATTCTCGTGCGCAGCTCGTTCATTGGCGTTTAATTGGTTCCTTAGTGCTCGCCAAGTAGTTCGGAGCGAGCCACCCAATTTCCCCCTTTGCAAAACAACGAATGCACTGTGGAAACTCCCACGGTCAGCTAACCCAAACATGTCTGTGATTTTTGCATTTAATGCGTGGGCACTCCTTGCTAGAAGTAGAAAAAAAATAGCAGAAGAAAAGTAGCAGCAGTAGTAGAAGAAGGAGACCCGAAACGTTGTCATAGGAAAGAATAAAAAGAGAGAAGAGTCCAGAGTCTCAGTACTTCTCGTGAAAAGCCAAGCGAGTGGTAAACAACCCCCAACAATAGCCCATTTCCGAATTACCCTTGGCCTCATTTTGAAAATGAGTCCTGGTGCTCATCCTTTCATATGATAATAAGTTTTCATTCACCTGCAAATTAAACTCATTTTCACAACAATGGTTGAGCACCAGGCCTCGTTTTGAAAAAGAGGCCAAGGGTAATTCGGAAATGGGCTTTGTAAACTCTCTTTGGGTAAGGAAAGATAGTTAGAAAATATATAGCATATCATAATCGAAAGATGGAAAAACTGTGAAAAAAATACATATATACCAAGACTACTATACTGTTGATAGGGTGTTGCTTAGCTTTGCGTCTCCGGTGATGAACATGTATAGATTGTTCTCACAGAGTCCGGCGCTCTAACCAATTCAGCTAAGCGGGAGGCGGTTCCCATGATCTCAATGAGTGATTCAGCAGTCTTACTGTCAGGAGAAATTAGATGCTGGTCAAGATATCAGCGAGATATTTATTTCCTTTGGTATCTTAATTTAATTCCTAGTTTTTATAACAGAAAAAAAAAACGTTCCTTCTGCACAGTCTGTTATCAATACTATAATTATAAAACTGCAGTCCTATTTACAAGCTTATTTATCAATCACTGTGACTTCAACACTCCATTTTGGAAGAAACCGATGGAAGATGGAGAAAACATTAGAGGAATAAATGACACACTTCCATCTGACCAACACTGCAAGAACAAACAGACCAAAAGTAATTGATATACAATTGTCCCAAGTCTACAGACTACAGTTTCGTAAATTTCGTAGATGTCCATTGGCCTTACACAGAACTTTTTCAAGCGTTATGTTCATATCTTTCCACTTATAGTGCAGCAGTTTAAAGAAAAGGGAACTCAATTTTGCGCGTGTAAAATGCATTCTCTATTGTGGAATGATATGGTCATTGTTTATTTGAAAGGGCAAGGTATTTGCAATAAAAGCTGGTGGACCCGATGTCCGTCGATCGTCTTGTGTTTCTCATGGTTATGTTTGTTTGTTCATCTTCGTGGTCCTGTCACCTTTACTTGTTAACTTCACCCAGAGCCCTGATATTTAGTTCTGTACTGGGTCATTTCTAGAGTTAACCTCACTCTCAAAGAGGCTATATCCACTAACGAATTGAATCTGATTCTAGAAAATTGTCAGGAAAGTTAAAGAAAATGTTGTAAGAGAGGCCAGCGCAATGGACCAGTTTCCGGCATAGCAACATCTCGGGTTCCTTCATGCTAACAAAACTACGACATGCTCCTGTACATGAATTCAGCTAAATGTTTGGACCACCCTGATAACTTACACCCTTTTTAAACTTTTCGTACACAATCTCGACTTACAACAGTCAGAAGAGCTCCCTTCTTGAAGTCTTGCTGAAAAGTAATAATTTGTGGAACTGTTTCAGGAGGTCCCCTAACAAAGCCACTGCAACAAAAAACAAGAACAATTGATTTGTGTAATCTTATTTATTTATTTATTTATTTGTGTAATCTTATTGGCGGAAGTCGCCCTGAGAAGGACAGTTATCGGTAGAGTCCGCTGACATTTCAAAAGCCTTAGCAGACGTCACCATCAGAGTCGAAACAGGTACATACAAAAAAATTAATGGGTGAAGTCAAGGTCAGTTACAATATAAAACCGTGAAAAGTTCTTTTCAAATAGTTCTAAAAAATTAGGATTCATAAAATCTCTCCAGATAGTTTCATACACCACACCATAGTAACTATGACCACACGTAGGCCAAACTCGCGTAATGAGCCTCGTACAATGTAAATGTGCAAATACATTTACGTTGAGCAATGGGCGAAGTGTAAAATCCTCTAGAGGGCAAAGCCGATGAACCATTTATTTCCATACAAATCCTTTCATCTCTCTCACTGCGTAACGTAAACATATTTCCATTTTTACGGAGGCTCATTACACAATCTTGGGCTTCCTGTGTATACACTGGTCACTTTATCTCTTCTCAAAATATACCGCTTCGCTCTCAGAAGATGATTAATTCCATATCCGAAATCCAACCTAAAATCGGTATTTGGATCATGGTTTGCTTTAAATTTTGGATTATTTATCCGAACAACACAATATTGATAAAAATAATGAGGCAAGTATTAAAACAATCCAGTTCAAATTTCTTTTTCAAACAGGGAAGCTTGACCAGGTTTCAACTGTAAGAGCAAATGAATGGAACCATTCGCATGTACACAGATACATGTTTCCAAGATTACTTCTTACCATGGCATGATTTCAAAGGATGGTTTCAATCTGGTTTTGAACACAGCAACTAATTCTTGAGCATGTTTTCTGTCATCTGTCGAGAAATAAATTAAATTTCCATCTAAATCAATTACTAATTGAAACATGGGGTAACGTAACTAGGGAACAGCTATCCTGAAAAGCAAATCAGATTTCAAACAAAACTTATAAAAAGATTCCTAAAATGTAAGGTCTATGTAGCTGTGTAACGTACTTTTCTGTCTACTCAGAATATGTTTCGTTTGCCAACTGGTTTGCATTCGGCCAGTTGGGATTCTTAATAATGTTATTTTCAATTTGAATTACTTGCTTCAGTTGTTTGGTGAAAAACCTGTAAACTAGCTTCTAGCTAAGTGTTTCTTTACATTAAAAACTGTTTATTTCATTATTATTATTATTATTATTATTATTATTTTATTTTTTTTTTTGCAATGAGTAAACGGAGAAGTGAGAGTTCTCATATGCAATGTGACCTTGGGATGAGAAAAGAATGCCTTTTACTGTCTGAGGCTGATTGTTTACCAAAATGGCTCTGACGTGACAACCAAACTTTGCAAATACAGCTGTTTCGAGAAAGGAGTAAGTTTATAAAGAAACTGTGGTGCTGGGTCGGTGGAGTTAACAAGGTAGTTTGGGTTTTATCAACTGAGTTGATAAAGTAAATTGGCCACAGTAAGTAGTTTCAAAGCTGACGTTTCAAGCGTTAGCCCTTCGTCCTTAAAGCTCTGGCGAAGGGCTAACGTTCGAGACGTCAGCTTTGAAATTATTTACGGTGGCCAATTTACATTATCAGCTCAGTTGATAAAACCCATATTACATTGTTTCGAGAAAGGTTGTCGCTAAAAAGGACAAAAGTAAAAGCGAACAGTCTCGAAAGGTAACCTGGGTATCTGGTATCAAACCTGCTAGCACTGTCCTTACCGTGACGTTTTACAGATTTTCCTTAAATCCTGAGGTCAAGGAACCATGACCTGAAAACTACTCACGATACCTTTCGAGTTGTCACCTGCACTTACAATAATTTTTTCGACAACCTTCCTTGAAACACCTGTGTACCTTTAAATATAATAGCCAGTCTTTCACCAAATGGGTCCCAAGCCATGGAACGCACACAGCCACCTAAAGTTACTGAGCCATCAGCATCCTCCCAAGTGTGCGGCGTCAAATCCGCGCATCGCACAGCCAGACGCGCACCTTTTGCCACAGTTGCATTATGGCGCCCGTCATCTGGATCAGATATTGAAAATTTCTCTTTATGTGCTGTCATATAAATAGAGCTGTAAGTTTTTTTTAAGTTTAACAACCATGGTCATCACCGTAAGTTAGATGTCCGGCACAGTATTTCCTTCAATTTGCTGACTTTTTACTGTTAAACTAAGACGATCAATGACTAATCACATTGAAGATTAAAACACCAGTAAACCACTGGCATTTTTCGCATCTTAATTTGAAACAACTGGTCAACAAAATATGGTAGAAGATTAAACATAAGCTACAGGACACAAAATGTATTCAGACATTACAATTCTTCTTTTCTGGACGCCAATTACAGTGGTAGTGAGTACAATTTCCAAGTAATGAAGTAATGCCATTACTTACCAATATTCTGAAACTGAAGTGAATAAAGAGCAGGTTCATCTGCCACAGCAAACACAAGAATCTTCCCATCAGGACTCCAACATGCTGCCTAAAAAAGATGATCATACACACAGTCAAGTGATTATTTCCCTAAGCATTTCATCTTCTTAACACTAACGCACAGTTTGTCTACCAATTTCTCAATTCAAAGCCATAAAGAAAGAGGTAAATCAGGGCTCAACACTAACAGTAGCCAACTAGCCACAGACTAGTAGAAATTCAGTTTTGGCTAGTGGTTTTCCATTTCTACAGGCCAGTTTGGCTAGTAAACAAACTAAAATTGTCATAACATCTAAGATGTCACTAGCCACTTGGCTAGTAAGTTGAAAAGTTAGTGTCGATCTCTGCAAATACAAAATAATTATACAAAAAAAAAATTGAGATAGGGAATCACATTTAAAAAGATTTAACCATAACTAAGTATAGACTACAGAAATTATATGGCCACAGAAATTCCAATTGATTATCAAAAACTGCAATCAAAGGTTGCATTTATTTTACTTTTTTTTCTTTGTGATTAGTCAAGAAAACTAGCCATTATTCTCAAAACTCAAAACCAAACACCCTTCCAGTGATTGAAGCCCAATTTTCCTTTACACTTTTTGATTACTTTAGTTTTGGTTTAACAACACTCAGTTTTTTAGCTTAGTTTTTTTCAGGACTACCCTTATCCACGTAATCATGCAACACTATTTAACAATTATTCGCCAAAGGCGAGGTGAATATTGTCGAATAATCCCCAATACGAAGTCGAGGGGATTATTCGACAATATTTACTGAACCTGAGGCGAATAGTTGTTTTAGTATAATTTCAGAGCTGAATAACAGAGAAATTTCTAAAATCATAACATTTTAGTAACATTTATTAACATTTTATTTTAACATTTTATATAACCGCCTGGAGCGGTTTATATAGCTTCATATAAGGAACCGCTCGACCAATCAGATCGCTGGAAACTCTTTGCTCAGCTCTGAAATTATACTAAAGACAGTTAGTTGTCACAAATTGTTTACACCCTAATATCAGTTTGCATATTCTCCATACTGTTCTCTATACATTTCCTACGGTGCTGACAAGGAGAATTTGTTTGAAAACCACAAGAAGCTAAAGCTGATAACAATTTAACATTCCTTTAATTCAACATTTCTTTTATTCTCATAACCTTACTATGTGCTTCAGTGGTGATAGACAGAGCTGAATAATGTCAAAGGTATGTGGTCAGCAATGCAGGCTCAAGCATATGAAGAAATTAATTTGAAAATATAATGAGGAGCTAGCATTTAAAACCATGGCATTTTGTTGTTGTCAAAGACATTTCCCTATTTCCAAAGTTTTTAAGGAGAAAATTAATTTATGAAAATATACAGGGGGTGTACAAAGTTTCTGGAAGTTGTTCCGCAAAAGAAAAGCAGCAAGGAAAACAATGCCTCAAAGCAACAGAATAGAAAGTCAACAATGCGAACTACTCAAAATCCGTTTTCTGTGCCAAAACCTAGCATGTATGAATACATTTTTCAGCTCTGTTGGAGTAACAGTGTTAGGAGAAATGAGATGTAAATCACTCTGAGGTGTCAAAAGGTTAAGACTAACAATGTTGTATGTATCCAATTATTTAAAAGGTTATTTTTTATTCCCCAATGCTCAAGAGATCCTAAGTTGCAAAGAGCTTGAATTAAATACATTTTTGACCACTACAGGTTAAATATATTTACCTGACAGGCACCTGCTAAATTAGACCACTTTTCACATGTCCAAGTCTGAGTCTCCCACACTCTATTGGAAAGAAAACCACCAGTAAACACTTACATGTCTTGACTGAACATCAGTTCAAATATTAATCACAAGCAGTCAATGTTATTCTTCGAAGCTCAAGAGATGAAAGTTTAATTTATACCTAAAAGAAGCATCATATTGGAATCTACAACTGCCAGAAAAAAGTAATGCATTTAGTCACCACAATCAAGCAGGGAAAACTTGTATCTGGGCTTGATGTAATGAGCTGAATGATTGCTTTGATAACTATAACAGTTTTTTTTTTTCCAAGATGACCAGACATGTCAATTTTTATTGTTATATTTTGGCAAACAGTCTAACCTGAACAAGCTGGAGGGTGTAGCAGTAAATACATTCCTCTCATCTGGTGACCATGATGTGAGTGATACGCCCCCTCCTGCTCTATATAAGGGTGTGGCTGTCTCCAGAGCCACGTCCCACACCTGGAAATTTTCACAAGAGAAATAATTATATTACAGAACACAAAAACTTGAAAACTTGACTTTTGCCAATGCAAAAACAATCTATAAATTGGAACCCCTTTACATTCTACCATTTACAGTTGTGTTCTACAAGGATCAACTGTTTTCTGTAAGTTGTAAATTTGATAATTCTTGGGAAAAAATTATCTGACTTCTCCCTTCAACAATTTAAAGGAACACAACAGGCCAACCATCATCTACTATGTTGCCATCTTCCTACTTTTCAATTGTTCCTAAGAAGACATTTCAGCTATCACATACCATTAAATTACTGTCTGCTGGAGAACCAGACACCAACAACTGTCCACTGGGACTCCATGAGACAGTTGTAACTGGGCTGTGGCCTGGATAGGACAGATGACGCACAGAGCTACCTCCAAGTCTACACAAGGAAAAAAAAATCCAAATTCATTACTTTGCTTGGTGGAACAATTTCCTAAAATTGCAAACAGATTTGTTTACATTCAAATAGTCAAGTAATAAACAATCAATGTGCCCCCTCTAAGTGGGAGGGATATAATTATTATAATCTCAAAAAATTACATTCAAGCAATGTTTACCTTAGAATGGGTGATAATGGGTCTACAGTCCAGACAAACAAACCACTGTCACAGCCAACCACCAAACCTGATCCTGACAGAGGTCTAAATTGAAAAAAATAAAACATGATTTTAAAAGGAAAATACATGGAAACAATAATCAGAAAAATTCTCACCACACATACACACGCACATCGGTATTTCAATCTCTCTAAATATAAGCCTTTAGAGAAAACCAATTAAAAGCTTGTCATTTTCTGCTAGCTGGAGAATGAAAGAAGTGGAAAATGTTTTTCTTACACACCTGAGAGTTTGGGTGCTAGTGTGAGAGGGTTTCATCACATGGTTGGATATAATTTACAGGTTTTCTTCTTGCCATTTGTTGTTCTCAGACCTCCCCCACCCACCTTCAAGATGGGTAGTTTTAAATGCCTCAAAGTCACTATTTATATGTAGTTCTGAGAATTTCTCTCACCATCGTAAAGCCTTCATTGGACAAGCCTTTTAATATGACAGGTAGTTGTTTTAGTGTAATAGACAAATCCAAGCCCCAGATGGGACTTGAACCCACGACCATCCGTGATGTAGTCGGATGCTCTAACCACTGAGCTACTGGAGACTCTATGGTGAGCAAGGGGTCAATTTGTGGTAGTTGTTTGGTAGTAAATTTATTCAAGTTTGTTGTGGGCTGTAATCTAGGAAGCATTTTCCTGTTGTTTGCTCTGTTGTAATATTTTGATGCTTCAGGGCTGGGGGAATTATGCACTATTTTATGAGAAATTATGCACCATTTTTTCTGCGATTATGTGCCAAATTTAGCAAATTATGTACAAACTATGTAAGTTGCACAATATTGAAAGTATTGAATTTTACATAAATTTTAAATTTTTATGTAAATCCATATTAAGAAAACCTAACTATTAATAATTATTTGCCAGGATATTGCTCAACTCTCTCTTTGGCCATTACATTGTAATTTTTTTCTTTCGTTTGAAAAAACTTTCCATTTTAAACACGAAAAGAACAAAAAAGAAAGTTTCTGGAATAAATTTACCAAAATGGCACCATTTTTCTTTCGGAAGCACTGATTGGTTCTTTTTCCTCCAATCATATTGCTTGCAAGTCAACAAGTAGAGCCCAGGTCTCCGGCAGCAAAAGACAAGAGGCCTGTTCAATTTTACTTGTTTTCCTGCATGTTTGACACGATCTTTTCGATTAAAAATACAGTTTTTGCCATCAAAATTCACTACAATTTGAAAAAACTATTTTAAAAGGTTTTGAAGGTAGGAAAATTTATCTTTTAGCACACATTTTTTTCAAAATATCCAGAATTGTGCAGAAATTATGCACTTTTTACAAGATTATGCAAATTATGCGTTTGAGCTAAAATTATGCGCTTTTGCATCGGCACATAATTCCCCCCAGCCCAGATGCTACGTAATAAAGGTCAGGCTGTATGGTTAGGCTTGACATGGCTCCCAATTGTGTGTGAGAAGTGTTAAGAATACAACAAAACTGTCAGTGATTAATTTCTCCTTACAATAACAATACAATATCAAGCAGACAAGTAATGAGAATGTAGAAAAATATCAATTAGGGAATTATCATTTGATTCAATACCAAATTCTCAGAACTTGAGTTATAAGCAATGCCTGGGAGACAATATAGAGAGTTACTAAATAAAAGAAATCTTTGAGGTGAAAGAGTTAGCCCTACCTCCACGCCAGACAACTGACAGCTTTCTGTTGCTTGTGCTCTAATATAGGGACCAAATCACTGAAAAAAAAAGACAAAAAATATATTCAAATACTTTTATTCATAAGCTATCATGTTCTCTCAGATAAACACATTTAAATGAAACTTCACTTTGTAGATCAAGAGTTAACTTAATTATTTTAGCTTGGATATTCTTGCAAATTAAGATTCTTCATAAGTTACATATTATTGTTATTCACTTAGGCTGCATTATTATTGCAAACTGTTTATTTTTAATGAGTGCATTCAGTGCTGGCAAAAATTTGCAAAAATTCAATCACAATATTCTGTAATAAAATTTAATGATAATAACAATGAGAATAATAATAGGAATTTAGCAATAGACATTCCACATGTGGCTCTTCTTGTCCATTGTTTCCAAGTCAGATTGGAGTTTGGAAAGTTGATTTTTGTGGAGGGAGGAAAACCACAGGAACTAGATAAAAATCATCCAAGCAAGGAGAAGAACCAACAACAAACTCAACCCAAAATTAATGTGACATCAGGTCTGGGAATTAAACCCTGCCCACACCAGTGAGAGGCAAGTACTCTTGCCACCATTTCCTATCATTCTGTGTGAACTATCAAAGTAAGGCAATGTAAATGTCTTCACATGCAAAGCACAGGATTTTTTTAAGTTAATTATTCTTATTTTTACCTGGTATGTAGGTCTGAGTGAATTAATTCTGATTCCGCCCTTTCCCTACTTCAACTACTTATTACTTAGTAACAGACTAGAACAGAACTGGTCTGAAGTATCCTACCTTGACAATGTATAAACTCTCACTGAATCATCCTGAAAAAGAAATCAAAGAGTACTTAATAAGTTCAATGCTGCAACTGAACAGACTGAAAAAGCCAAAAAGGAGTACCACTGATACAGACACTTTTAGGAGAAAATTGTATGCAAAGAGACTTTAAAAAACACCAATTAGCATGCCAAAATGTAAAAGCCTTCCTTTGGCAGAATGTAGTTTTTCAATAAAAGCAAGCATGGGGTGGCATGGGTGACTTAATAAATTTATTTTTTGAGTACTAATGAGGATGAGAAGGCCTGGGTACCGCAGTAGAGATGTTGAGACATATTCCCCACCAAAATTGTGGACAACTGCAACATGTAAGCAGTTCAAGACCCAGATACATATTAAGCTTGATTTAAATAACATCTCAGATGGATGCAGTGGCTGCAATCTTCACAATTCATAATTTCAATTTTTCTTGCAGGATTTTTCTGTATAATTATCATTTGTAAATTTCACTCAGAAATCTGTTATACACAGCCTGAGAAAAGCAGCCATCCTTTCGCTCCCTTCGTTCCCCTTTCGCGGGGAAACGAAGGGAGCGAAAGGACAGCTGCTTTTCTCAGGCTATGTTATACATTATCTGTTACTATAATTTCAATTTCATATTCATTTTAGATGGTTCTAGTCAAGTGTCTCCTATAAGCATTGGGGATTCCCCCCCCTGCTAGATGTAATGAACACAGTAAGAAAGTCATTATTATCATTACATGCTGTAAGACCTATGAAGAAGCTTCCTTCACCAACACCTACCCTCCCTTCCCTCTTGAACATTCAATCACTGCCCCTAAAAATCAATATGACCTTCAGGTCATTTCAAACAAACCTGCCAAGCCACAACAAATTTAGCAACATGAGGGTGCCAGGCGAATGCCCTGATGGAAGAGTTTTTCCTATAAAATCAATAGATTACAAGGATGACTAGAGAGTTATACACAGTGATGGCTTGCTCATATGGTATTTATTACTCTATTGGTAGCTAGTGGCACCCTCTGTATGTAGGGGTTGAACCTATATCAGAATCTCTATTTTTCCATCTAATTTTAAATCACCTGTTTTTATTAATTAACTGATCAGAAGTGATACAAGATCAATTTCTACTTATCATAATTAAAATCATTCATACTATAAATACCATACTTCCTCAAATTGAAGGATGAAGAAGGGCGCCTCCTGGTCAGCTCAATTGGTTAGAGTGCCAGATTGTGTTGTGCGGGAGGTTGAGGGTTTGAGCCCCGGCCCGACCAATACTCATGGTCTTAAAATAACTGAGGAGAATTTGCTACCGTTCTATAACATCAATGAAATGAATAGATATTCTAGTCTTCTCGGATAAGGACGAATAAATGGAGGTCCCATCTCCTGCAGGGTTTGGGGTAGGAAACATTAATTTCCCACGCACGAGATTACTGTGTGATGGATGTCCTCCCCTGGGGTGGGAAGTGTGGGGGGAGAAGGTGAGGTCGTTACATGGACTAAAGTGGCTGCCAGAGGCGCTTGATAATGCTGACGTCCGATCTCAACCTTAGTAACACTATAGACCTTAGCAATTCAGCCTATGCTGCTATTAAGGTATCGAATCATTCACTTCACTTTATAAAAAAAAGTTACAAATCACATTGCTTTAAAAATCACTTTGACCCAAATTTGATTTCAACCTTCAACACATATTCAATCTAATCCTACTTTATTTATGAATCTAACGTTTTACCAAGAAGACACACATGAAAAGACATTGATCATTTCTTCTCTGGATAGCTGAAAACAAATAAAGGGAAATTTAGGAGATTTTTCAAAAGATTTTTGCCTAATTAAAAAATTTAAATCATGGTATTAAATCTCTATTGTGAAAACATGAACATCTACAGTACTACAGGCCTTAACTCAACCAATGGGAAAAGTTTTAATTTGTAGTAATTAAACATCTACTAAATTTTTAATAGATAACTAGGTTTGGCAAATAGATACTTGCCAAAGGTTGTCATTAGACTGACATTTGGTGGTAGAAACAAGCCAGCTGTCAAACAATTTTGGGCTGGCTACTTTATGAATTGTATTCAAAGATAGAAAAATTTTAAGTATTTTACAGCAAAGTTCACAATGCAACCAGGAGGACAGTCACACATGGTCTAATATGCTACTCTGGTTCAAAGATTTAATGAATGTAACCAAGAAGTTACAATTCATAGACCCAATGTCTCAGCACTCCTGTCCTTTTCAACTGATTCTTACACCAATGTCTGGCTAAGAAAATATTACCCGGACAAACATGTCCCAGAATGCCAAAAATCACCTCTCAGAGAGTTTCGAATGTCAAATATTTTCCAGAGGGGCAAGCCCTGGAATTCCTATGAATGTGGCTTTGCAAGATGCCATGCTTGTTAGGCAAGCATAATTAAATTCAGCTGCCTCCCCAGTTCAGATCATGCATCTATTAATTTCCTAGCCACATTAACCTGCTTTCCCTAGGACCATGTATGAAAGATGATAAAATCTGGAAAACTTACATTTAAATGAGGGAAAATGTAGCCATAAAGTGATAAGAACCATCTTATAACTGCATCTGTTCCATTGCTCACATGCCAAAGCCATGATGGCACTTTGTCAAGGAAAAATATCAAACTAAATTTTCATATGAATATAAATTTTTAAGACTGATAACTAATAGTTACTTAACAAGGTTGTCAATAATTATAGGTAAGTGACTGGCACAAATTACTATCTACTCTGAAAAATGGGCCAGCTACTCCAAATGTTTTTGCTCATTTTCAGCAGTTAAAATAAATTTGAGAACCCTGCTGAAACACTTAAATTACATAATTGTAGAAGAACTTGTTATTAATGGACTTGGAGATCATGGTTGTCTCCTATGGAGTGCCATTACCACCAATATTCAGCTACTGTTTTTTTTTTTTTTTTACAAAATGGTGCTTAAGATATGAAGCCAATCATGTGTTATGCAGCTAATCAGTTTATAAAATGGTCCCTTAAAAAATATGGAGCACTTTTTATGAAGCCAATTAAGTTTTATGCAGCTAATCATTTTATAAAATGGTGCCTTAAAGTGCACCTAAACCCAAAACTTTTTTTCATTTAATGAAATAAGCTTATTTTTTGGAGTATTTCTGTGCAAAAATTAATTTGCTCAAATCTTTAATTTTCTGTGCCCAGTCAAAATACGGAAAATCAGCTGCCATCTTGCCCCACGACCAAGTTTAAAGAGGAATGGCTCTAGCGGGTATGTGACGTCAAATCGAGAACACGAAAGTCTGCATTTCGCACATTTTCACTTGTTTGGGAAGGTTGTCGTCGATATTGTCCGAAATATGCCGACTAGGTGTGTTGTATGAGGAATGTATGAAGCGCGATACCTTCTTACAAATTTCGCATGTCGCTACATCCTTCTACAATACACTTAGTTGGCATATTTTCGAACAATATCGACGACAACCTTCCCAAACAAGTGAAAATGTGTGAAATGCAGACTTTCGTGTTCTCAATTTGACGTCACATTACCTGCTAGAGCCATTCCTCTTTAAGCTCGGTAGTGGGGCAAGATGGCAGCCGATTTCCGTATTTTGATTTGAGCAAATAAAAACATTTTGCATAGAAATACTCCAAAAGATACGCTTATTTCATTACGCGAAAAAAAAAATTTGGGGTTTAGGTGCACTTTAAAAAAGATGGAGCACTTTTCATGAAGCCAAATATATTTTATGCAGCTAATTATTTTATCAAATGATTAGCTGGATAAAAGAGGCTTCATAAAAAGCACTCCATATTTTTAAGGCACCATTTTATAAAATGATTGGCTGCATAAAACATAACTGGCTTCATATCTTAAGCACCATTTTATAAAAAAAAAAGTATCTGAATGTTGGCAGTAATGGCACCCCCAAGGTCTCCTTGCATAAAAGAATAAATTTGCTGATTATCAGTAATACTTGTCCTACACATAGCAATAGTGTGCACCAACAAAAGAAAAATCTATATCTTTTATCACAATGTTTTGACAGAATTGAACATCTATAACTAGTATAATTATTATATGGCTGTGTCTCACAAGGACTGGGAACTACTGAATTCACAAATTTGATTGGCTGAAATCAATACTGAAAGCAGTCTAGATTTTCCCATCTAGACCGGCATCTAGACCGGTCTAGAAAAAAAAGGTACAAAGAATATAAAAAATTGGCATATAAGACACAGCAATATAAACAACTTATTAAACGAGCTAGGTCGGTCTGTATGGGAGAATCTTGACCTCCATCGCTGGTACAGACCTCACTGCATTCGGTCTGTACTGACAACCTCAGTCAAGATTCTCCCTTACAGACCGACCTAGTTCGGTTAATAAGAACTAAATACAATTTGTCAAACAAACTCATTTTTAGGACTAGCATACACAACACCTGAAATACTCATTACAACAAAACCCCTTTTCTTCCTCTGAACTTTCAATGATTGTACATTGTACCTTCATCCTTGCTTTTCTTGACCTCATGCAGCATTTCAGATATCCCTTTATAATGCCTGGTTGATTTAATTGCATAAAATTCCACAGATGAATATCAATCCCAAAAACAATTGAAAGGACAGTAGTTCTGTAAGGTCATATTTCAATTCTAAGGAGCTCAAATCAAAGTACAGTATATTTTATCCATAATGTCATCATCAAATAAATAGCAATTAAAACATTATAATACAACAGCCTCCTTGTTACACTGGGCACAGTGGCCTCATGGTTAGCGCGGTCGACTCCCAATCAAGTGGTGCGGGTTCAAGCCCTGGCTGGGGACATTGTGTTGTGTTCTTTGGTAAGAACACTATCACAGTGCCTCTCGTCACCCAGGTATTTAAATGCTCAGGGGGGTAACCCAGTGATGGACTAGCATCCCATCCTAGGGGAAGTAGAAATACTCCTAATTGCTTCAAGCTACAGAAACCAAAGTTAAGCACCAGCCTGATGGACCACTTGGCTTGTAAACAGACTTCACCTTTTTTCCTTGTTGTTTCATTAAATATGCTTGGATGTAATTCTATAGACTGTTATGGAATCCAATTTGTTTTTACATTATCATGTTATGTGCACTATGCAAGTGGGATGGGATCAAGCATGAGTGCAACATCATAGCAAATATGTAAGTGTAATGGTTACTGTTAATTGACTAAAGTAGATTACAATCCCTAATCTTTGGAACCAATTCCATACAAACCTCAGAATGGATTCACAAACCCCTCACCAGTACTAAGAGATGCCCACCAATGGACATCTGTTCAAAGAAGCAAACATTCTTCTGAAACTGCAGGAAGGCAGTCACCTTTATAGAACAATTTATGTTTAAGGAAATATTTTTCATTTTCTTTTTTGCCAAAGTTTTTTTTTTGTGGTATGCTGTAAAAATGTTTTAAAACATCATGCTAGTACTTACCAAACCTTAAGAAGCTTTTTAGAAATACTTTCCTCTCTCTTCACAAGTGATCCCCAATCTTGATCCATAGAACTGGACAAGTTATTTCCTGTCTTTGATCTCTCTTTATTTCCATTGATTGAAGGATACTTGATCCCCTGATGAAACACAGAAAGTTATTTTTCCTATCTCTCTAGCTGGAATCATGAAGGGTTTCTAAAATTTCAAAAATTTAATCTCAAGATCCAAAATGATTTGAATTGTATGGACCTTATGATCTTATGCATCAATCAATTCAAAGCTTTTACATCCCCACCTCCGGGTAATCCCCCAGACATTTGAACTTTTGAAGATCAACCAAGCTTTAAAACCTAGACCTTTACTTCCGAGCCACAAACTTGCAAATTAAAAGATAAAACACCTGCACTCTGCTGGAAAGACTTGACACTTTTGGTTCAAATTCCCCACCCCAGCCAGGTAAGGTTCAATTCCCAACCCCCCCTGACATTAACTACAATCAAATGTCTGTCATGGGCCCTGACATTTTTATACTTATTATGAACTAATAAATTCAAAGCTTCAACACCCTTATCTGAACAAATTTGCAAAGATTACTCTATACACACATTTCTGTCCTTTTCTAGCAACTTTAAAATGCATTTTTTCAAGATCAATGCACTTTCACAGATGCCCTCTAAAATGATATTCCCAAAGATCAGCGACATAAATTTGATACCCTTGCAAAATATTAAAAACCTCTTTTATTCTAAATATAATGTACAGTTACAGATTGAAATAATGTATACTTTGGTCAAAACTGATGCATACGGTTACTTTGGTTTCGTTTCTTTGCTAAGGTTACACAAATGGTCCAATCAGTGCTACTATTATTTCATTATTAGATTCTGACCCCGTTGGATGTAACGCCATGTCATAGTGATATGGTTTACGGTCTAAAAGTGTTCATACTAGTACATGGTAGTTTTATGCAGGTCCGCATCAGCTTTATGCTGCCTTTTATTCATGACCTGCTTAAACAAATAAACCACGTACGTATGTATGTATGTATCTCAATAAAAGATATATGAAACGAACTCTACCTGTGTGGCGGGCACATATTTTGACAACTCGGCAGAGCTGTAATCCTCGGCTATCAACCTGGCATTCATTTCGCATAACGTTACCTCGCCTATTGGGGCAGGAGCTGGAAAAACGGATAATGAAGACATGTTTTAGTTTAGATGTCAGTCTCAGTTCCGCAATTCAAAGATGGCGGGAAGGTTTTTATTGACAGGCGTTCTAATAGGACGGGAGAGACTGGGTTCATTTTTAATCAAGCGCCATCGTGGGATGTTCATCATCACGAGCCAATTCCGAGTAACATTCGAAGCGATCCGAAGGAATCGTTACCGAGCGTTGAACGACTGAAGATGTTCCAAAACAAACAAATGCCGAGAGCGAGGAATATCGGGTAAAACTCGGCAAACTTTTTTGTTTCGTGTGCTGGGACTCAATAAACAGGGCAAAACTATGGCTTCGTCTCTATGGGAAGCAGGACCATATAAGAAACAGTGAATAGAAGAGAAAGAACGAGCGCTTCATTAACAAGCAAATTAATGGTAACATTAAATTAGAATGTATTTTAGGGCCTGATTACATGACCCGGGATGGCCCTGTTAGCCGGGCTGATTTCTTTTGTTTTGGTGTTCGCCAAAGCGTGCAAACAAAAGAAATCAGCTCGGCTAACCGGGCCAGCTCGGCTCATGTAATCAGGCCCTTAATTTTGCAGGTAATTTCTTATCTCTCCATTGCTTGGGGTTCATTTTAATTATTTAATAAGTTTAACTTCAGAAGAGCAGCACACTGTCGAAACCAGCATTCCGTGCTACCTCTATCTAAGAAGTGCTTAGCGTACGTCCCGTCGCTTTCTTCTTTATTTAAATTAGTCCTCAGAAGGTCCAGAAGGTGTGATGGGGATATGGCAGATATGGTCCTTGGGGAGAATTCTTGAACGAAATGCTCTTTCTGGTTCATTGGTACTGTTTCCTTGACGCCAAGAAAATGGGAAAATTGCTTTCTTCACAATTAGTTAAAGAAAATTTGGTTGACTTTTTCTTAAGCTCCTTCACTTCTGCTGTGCGTAAAAATTTAATTTCGGCGCGACTATTCAGTTTATTAGGATAATAATTGTCTCAAATTTCTTAAATGTTGAAAACATTTATTTGCTATTGTTATTGCTCATAGTATGTTATCTGAAGCTTTCAAATTGAGTTATTCTCTTCTTTTTCTTTATCTCCCTGCACAACTCGCCGCTACAGGCGAGTTGTACGTGTTCTTCTTTTAAATGTAAAAACATTAATAAAGTTTGTTTGCTTGTTTGTTTTAACTGGAACCAGAGAAATCTTGTTTCCTCCACTAATACTGCGGGTTTATTTCCAAATGTACATTCACTTGTCAACCTGCTTGTCAATAGCTCGTGACATATCAGCGAGACTCGATTTCAGAGCCAGATCAAACATAAGCATGGGAAAGGGATTGACCAATTAAACAATGCTTTGATACTTTCGTACCTGCACGATAGGCGAATAAGAGGAGGTTAAAGTGGTAGCCATGCTTCTTGAGAGACTGGTATTAAGATCAAATTAGATCCCAGTTGACACAGTTTGATGAACGGACAAGATGAACTTCTTGTTGTGAAAAGATTCCAAAGTTCTCCCAAAATGTTTAAGACATAGTAATACCTTCTTTTCAAGCAAAGGGAAAACTTTTAGAAACAATATTTAATCAGCCCTACACAAAGATGCTAAAACGGACACTGCGGTTAGAGTTGTTTTATCATCATTACTTGCATTTTTTTCGGTCTCTGGATCAGTGGACTCATGCTGACCCGGCCCTGTCGTCCATTACTGAACTAAATATAACTTCATGTATAAAGGGGGTAAGTTTCTAAAGAGACTGTGGTGCTGCGTCGGTGTGTTTAACAAGGTAATTTGGTTATATCAATTACGTTGAAATTGTAAATTAGCCACCGTAAAGAGTTAAGGCTGGTTTTCACTTGCGACGGAGTCGCAGTCGGAGACGTAATCAGAAGTGTGGAGCGATACGATCTAGTGAAAATCAAACTGACGGAGTCGGAAGCAGAACACCGATTCTGCCGATAACTCCGCCGCTTACGATCTAGTGAAAACTGCATTGTCGGAGTCGGAAGCGGAAGCGGAAGAATAAACCAATCACAATCCTCGATTCCATCTTTCCAAAATGCACAAATAGCCGTAACAAATTTAAACGTGTGAGCTTGACGGTAAAAATTACGAAACTAAAAGTTAAAATACTCGAACTGAACCTACCGAAAGTACGATTCACGATCACCAAGTCGTAGTTCGCTGACGAGGTTAGCATACTCTTCCTAGGCTGCTCGACGTCGATAGATATCACGAACCCAAAATTGCTTTCTTTTTCGAACGATATTATTCCTGCATTGTCTCTGCCTGCGCAAAATAATGATTAATAAG